AATGTGATTCAAAACGTTTTCCGTGAATCCGTTTCTGCTGGGTTCAGTGAGGAGAAGGTTCGTGGATTCCTTCACCAGCTGGAGCTCTCTCTGCGTCACAAGACTGCAAACTTCGGAATTGGTGTAATGGAAAAGACGATTTCGACTTGGCTCAACGGCTCAAACCCTATGAAAGAGCTAGCTTGGAATGATGTCATCGACGAGTTCAAGAGCAGATACGCGAAACCTGGTTATCTCGAGTCTTTGGTAGAGAAATATCTCATTAATGACCAATGCATGACCTTTACTATGGTCGGTACTCCCAGTTTCAACAAGGAGTTGGACGAGAAGGAGGTGGTGCGAAAGGACAAGAAACTTGCTCAGCTTATCGAACAGCATGGATCGGTTGAAAAGGCTGTTACTAAGCTTGGAGAGGAAGAATTAGAACTCCTCAAGATCCAAGAGGATGCCCATAATGCCGACTTGAGTTGCCTCCCGTCGTTGAGAGTCAAGGACATCTCGCGAGAGAAGGAGCGCAAGCCTGTCCGAGAGTCCAAAGTCGAGGGCGCTGACGTCGTCTGGCGTGAAGCTCCCACTAATGGCTTGACCTACTTCCAGGCCTTAAATGACTTTGTCGACTTACCTGATGAACTCAGGTTGCTTATGCCCTTGTTTAACGACTGTGTTATGCGTCTGGGAACTGCCAACCGGTCGATGGAACAGTGGGAAGATTTGATCAAACTGAAGACCGGAGGAATCTCGACCTCGTCATTCCTTGTGTCGTCCCCAACGCAATTGGATCAGTTCAAGGAAGGTTTGCAGTTCTCTGGATTCGCCATCGACAAGAACATCCCCGAGATGCTGGAAATGCTCTCGGTTTTGGTTACAGAGACAGACTTCACGAGCGCCGCTGCGCCTGCGATGATTCAAGAACTCCTGCGGATGACCACTAATGGAGCTTTGGATGCCATTGCGGGAACTGGTCATCGATTCGCCGTTAATGCTGCAGCTGCAAGTCTTTCTCGGAGCCTCTGGATCCAAGAGCAGCAGTCTGGTCTTGAACAACTGCAAGCCACGGCTAACCTGCTCCGGGACGCAGAGTCCTCTCCCGAGCGTCTCCAGGAGCTGATCGAGAAGCTTCGCTTGATCCAATCCTTCGCCATCTCCTCGTCCAACCTTCGCGTCCGCATGGTGTGTGAAAAGGAGAGTGCCGGTAACAACGAATCTATTTTGCAAAAGTGGATTTCCGGACTGCCCCGAACACAGTCCCCAAGGGCCAATCTCACCACCACTTCCTTCAAGTCAGCGGACAAGGCCTTCTATGATATGCCGTACAAGGTCTATTACTCTGGCCAGGCTCGCCAAACTGTACCATTTGTTGATCCATCCAGCGCTCCTCTCAGCATCTTGTCTCAGCTTCTCACCCACAACTACCTTCACCCCGAGATCCGGGAGAAGGGAGGTGCCTACGGAGCAGGTGCTAGCAACGGGCCTATCAAGGGCCTTTTCACCTTTATGAGTTACCGGGACCCGAACCCTCTGAACTCTCTCAAGGTCTTCAAAAACAGTGGTGTCTTTGCTAGGGATCGTGCATGGTCTGAGCGTGAGATCGAAGAAGCTAAGCTTGGCATCTTCCAAGGTCTTGACGCTCCTATGAGTGTCGACGACGAAGGTGCCCGCTACTTCATGAGCGGCGTTACCCACGAAATGGACCAACGCTGGAGAGAACAGGTTTTGGATGTTACAGCCAAGGATGTTAACGCGGTCGCTGACAAGTTCCTGGTGAATGGGTCGCGACAAACGACTTGCGTTCTGGGTGAGAAGAAGGACTGGGCTGATTCGGAATGGGAGCCGCGCAAGCTTTCCATGGATGCCGCCGCATAAGCGATATCAATTAAGGATCGCCGTTTAGCAGTCGCTTCCTCTCTTCTTTGCACGCCTTCCTCTAACCTGGGTATGATCCCTGTGTAGGGAATTGCACCACGACTTCCCCTTCCCATGTATTTCTATCTACCTTCACCCCCTGCATCGCCTCATACCTTGTACATATATCCGTGGATATCCCATCTGTATACATCTCCATTCTTCTTCCTGTCTGTTTTTATGTGTCTTCCCCCGCCTTGACTCCCAACCGCGCTGAAGATATTCACGTGCTTCGGCACCGAGCTAATCACATCTACAACCAGTCACTACCTTTGGTTGCAAGATGTCGCATTCATTTCCATCGGGATGCTCGCGCAAGAACAAAGGGGATGTGAACCGCAAGGTACACTCCTCTTCTCCGTTTTTCAGACCCGTCCTGGACCTATAAGTCTACACAGGACGGACTAAAAACGAGGGAACATAAATATATGACCACATATATAGAATTTATAGAATTTGTAGAATTTGTAGAAATATCAAGAAATATCAAAGTCGATAAATCTTTTCACATGTTTTTGACGAGGAACAATAATTGGTCAAGCGCCAGAGTGGTAAAAGCGGAGAAACGGTAATTCCCCCCTGATAAGTCCCGATGTAACTGTGTCTGCTCACCCACTTCTCCAATTGTTTTGATCAATTATCCCAAGAGTTATGGAGAATTATCCTGAGTAGCCATGAAGAGATCGGGCGCCATGGTCGGCCCGAAGCCGACCAAGGCCTGTGGTGAGTCGGAGATGGCATTGGCATGGTGGAGAAGAGCTAACCAGTTGAAGTAAATTGCCGACGACTGAAGGTATAAAATAGTTACTTTCCAATATACCAGCAACTAGCGACTCACATCAATCAGATGAAATGCGAAGTATCCGGACCTCCACCATGTCGCCGTTGCCGTCACACTCGAGCAGCCTGTGTCTTCAAGCCCCGGGCCAACGTGAGCAAATAATCACAATGGAAAATATAACCCGGACACGCAGCTGACATCCTATCCAGGCATCTGCGATGCATGAATTAATGGAGATGCAGCAAGATCAAGCTTTTGGTTCTCCGCCAGTGACCCCGGATCACCAGTCGATTCTGAACCGGCTGGCCAGGATCGAGTCTGCGCTCGGCATCACCGAGGACTCCCAGGACCCCGAAGACGAAGTGAGTTTGTCTCATGGGGCAAGTCCCGATGAAGATACGGACGCTGTGCCACTACATGGTGTATGGACAGCGCTTGCGCATTTAAGAGTCATTACTCGTCCCCCTCCAGATCATAGTGTCTGGTCGCGATCCGCTGTTCAGCAGCTATGGAGCTCGTATGTACTGTTTAAATCAAGATATGACGGTCAATATCTGACAATGCCACAGCTTCTTGAAAAACCTCCCACTTCTTCACTTCCTAACAGACCATAGCGCGTTCGCTTCTCCGACCCCTGTTCTGCTCGCTTCTGTGCTTTACATATCCGCTCTGCATCACCCGTTCGGTGGGCTGGCATCGTTGGACTCGGGCTATTTTGCCGCTATGTACAGTGCTATCGCTGAGCTTGTGACTCCGTCTCTGCATCCAAGTTCCATGCATGTATTAGAGCAGAAGGGCGAAGAGCAAAATATCTCCCCACAAGCCAAAAGAGAGAAAGCATTCCATGACATCCTTGGGTTGATCATGGCTAGTTTGAGCTGCGAGGCTTACGTTGGTGCCACAGGCTCGTGGATTGCAATGGCATATCGTATCTGGCTTGATCATTGTCCAGCAGAGATGAATCCCACTACGAAAGACTGGCGTGCGTTGTTCTCCGGTCTTCAGGTAGGAACAGCTACCAAACTCCAAAACTTGAATACTTCATTTACATTTCGCTTTAGGTCATTGATATTGAACACGCCTCAATGCACATGTCCTATCCACTCCTCCCACGACATGCTGCAAATCCCACTATACAGCGGTTGGATAGTAGTCAAGGAAATGCCTTCCAGGGCCTTGCAGAAATGATGCACTTTGGATTGAGTCATTTTGTCGGGCGTGGACTGCCGAGCATATGGTCCTCTCTCAATGCGGATGACGCCGACAACGTGCCTACAGCTCGGTCACCGTTTACGGAAAGTGACTCGCAGGTCATCCGGCATTGGGCACGGAAACTTGATGATTGGCTAGTACGGTATAATGGCTCATCCCGTGAGTGTTCACGAGCCAGAATAAAATTCCCGGGGCTGACTATAATTAGAGCCCACTCCGTCTGATCGACAAGGTATTCTCATTTTGCTCCAGTATCACCTGCACAAACTATATGTGCTTTCGATCTATCATCCTGCTCGCGGATTTGATCTCAGCCCTGCGAACATTAGTTCTTTTGAGCGACATGAGTTGCTCGTTTCGGCTCGGGCAGTGTTGAGACTAAGACAAGATGATGCGAGCATATGGTCGAATTGGGACTTAGTTGTGAGTTCTGCCCTAGAGCCCGCAATACTCCTTTTTAACAAAATAGATGATCACATGGGCGGCCGTATTACTCCTTCAAGGTGTTGAAGATGGCATGACTCACCAAGATGGTAAGGCATATTTAACCCCCAAGCAGAATTATCAACCTCTTCTAATGTTCTCTTCCAGATTTACACCTCATCCAAGCGCATCTCCAAAGTCTAGAACGAAGAAACCAGTCCGCCGCAAGCATTCATACGGTTCTATTCCACAGGCTCGAGTCTAGCATGCAAGCCATGCATACTCCGCCAGACACAAGTGTGGCATTGGCATTCCCACTCCCAACCGCAGATGACTCATGGACTATATTTGACCAAGAGATAATGTCTCTCGCAAACCCGCCATGGCTATTCGATGAATCGACGCAGCTGCCCCAGATCCAAAAAGCCCCTACAGTGCATCAGTTGCAATCGGGACTCCCACCTTTCCAGTACGACACTACCGTTCTAGCATCTACATCACAACACTTCGTACCACATACACAGTAGGGCTGCACGGCGGCGAGTTGTAGGTGTTCAAGAAGATCCTCGGTGAACTATCATCAACCCTGAAGAGGACCTAGTGGTGCACGAAGAGCCACTCCTTGATGTAATCTAGAAACATGCTATATACACTTCAAATCACAGTTGATCAAAGGAACTACCTATAGCCTCCGAACACTAAATCTCAGCTTGAAAGTGTCCATCCCCTCATGGTAGTCTTTCATCATCTTATCCGCCCCAGCCCACTTCTCCATCCGAGTCTCAACCTCCCATTTTGTCCCCGTTTCACAACCAACCTGCTCCCAGAATTTCTTCCACGTCGCAGGGTCATGACGATAATGCTTCCCAGCGGCCTCCTTATCTTCTGGAGGCGGGGGGTTCACTAGACCAATCTGTCGCCCGATTAAAAGGGAGCCGGTTTTATCCTGGAGTAACCCGACAAGCCGCTTCGCAACTAGGAGCTGCTGGTTCCAGTTGAAAAGATGAAAGAAGGAAGCAGCGTTCACAATATCAATCTTGTGCGTGAGGTTCTTGACTAGATCGGAGTTGTCGTCGAATATGTCCGCTACAATAAACTGGGCTTCGAGGTGATCATGATCGTTGAAGAGATCGTATCCAATGTCGTAGAAGTCTTGGCGTAAGTCTGAAGCATAGAGATTTTCAGAGGGGACGCCGTCGAAGACCTGATTTGGCATGTTAGATTTGCATTCATTGCTCTGGACTCTGCGTAGGCTCCCTAGGGTCTTACTAGTTGACGCAGCTCTTGCCCGACTGCACATCCGACATCAAGCAGCTTCTGGCCGGACTTGAGTCTATCCAGGATTTCAGGGTAGAGCGGTGACTGTGGGATACTCAAATCCAGGAACCGGAATGACCCAATACAAGGGTACGGGAACTGAGAATATTTATTAGTATCTTTGATCAATGATAATCGATAGTCCCTTGGGGTGTGAATATTCCGTAGCCATCAATTGCGTCTGATGGGCATTACACACGTGAGCATTGCAAGCCACAGCGCCTCTACAACGGATTATCGGTAAGAAAGATATACTTACTACAGCAAATGCTCGATCTCTCTGGATCATCCCATCTTGGTTAGCATGGGCTATACCCCCATAGAATGGGAAATGACTCACTACTTTCTTCACATGGTCCACCACTTGTTCGGACGGAATTTTGCTGTACTTTTCTAGCAGAGACTTTGCTGGTTCAGGGACTTCGATCAATTCCGGCTCGTACCAGGCGAACTTGTGAGGATCGAAGCCGCCATCGAGGATGGATTTGAGATCGGACTCGGCTTTAGCCATGTTAGAGTAGATGGATGGGCCGAGGTTCGTTTAGAGCAATTAGTGCGAGTAGTTAGTCTTAGAGGGTTAAACGTGGTATGTCAAAACGGCGCGCCACTTGACGAATTGAAGAGATTTCTTGGTTCTTCAAAGCCTGGATAGCTAGTAAGATCATACCCTCTTACTCTATTGAATTTCGACAGCTTCGGGATCGAATTGGTGGCATAGTGGGGGTGGCCGGCTCGGTAGTTACTGCCTGAATCCAGCCGTATTATAGACCGCTTTTAGGCCTCTCTATGTAGTGTATTATAACCGGCATGGAATAACGAGGCGCATCAAAATGAAGCTTTTGTACTCCATACATATCCAGATATCTCCATCCTTTTCGGTCGTTGCAAGTCCAAAACAAAATGAAGCTTTTTATACCATGCAAATCCACGTATCTGAAGGTCCGCCGTACAGGTGGAAGTATATATTCGCCAAATATAGCTAGTTCGTGGTTAAAGTAATTTAATCCTTTCATCATTCATCATTAGCTCCTAGAAGTGGGCTATTCCTCTGTCATCCTGGAATAAATTATACAGTCCAAGTCATAATTAAGAGCAACTGCCGTACTATATACTAACTACTATTTCTACTCGGGTGCGATTAACACTAGTATATCCCGCAACATGCCTCCGGAGTTCTTAGAGGATGTTATAACTAATTCTTAAATCCTAAAGCTCTTAAAGTCTTCCGAGTGGGGACATGAGTCGAGAGTGAACAACCATCCGTAAGTGTCGGTAATACCTAGGACTAATTCCATATGTATATATTCTGCCATTGTTTATCCTTTCAAAGTTTGCAGCTGTTAGGAGAGAGGCCTACGGAGACGTCTAGGTGTATGGTGGAACGTGAGAAGATGGCTGAATAATGTAAGAACCTAAGTACTAGACTATGGAAGTTTGATAGTAGTACTATCTATCCATAACTGTACCTTTATGAGTGCGATCAAAGTGCTTATGGAATGTTCAGAATGAAAAGTAACAAGTGCCTTTTAGAAAATCATCCGCGTAAAATTAAAACATATATCAGTATAGAGATATTCTATCCTTTGCAAAAGCTGGATAATGATAAGATCAAAAAGGTTGCATAGTATACATCCTAGCACCTGCAATTCTCTAATCTCAACTCGCAGCTTTATCATGAGCCTGATTTCCGTAAACATTCCCTATCTCATTCTGTGTCACTGTCTGCAAGGGGGCATTTAGATCTCTTCTTTCTATCTGTATCACATAAAGTAGCTAATTGGTGGTGATACGAGATCAAGCTCTGCTCAGGTTGCGACGAAGTTATCTTTATTATTGACCTTACATGACTGCATCGGCCATACCTCTACAGATGTGGATGTTTGTGATAATGATGGTATTGTCGGCCAATGTTTATATATACAATGGCTAGCTGGCTATATACAATGAGGGCCAGCACTCCCTCCTAATTATAAACTCGCACCCACCCAACCCGTTTGTATCATAATTATAGTAACTTAGTTGCCGTTGCCGCCCCCGCCCCCATGGGCCTCACCACTGGCCTCACTACCGTCCCCCAAACTGGCCCCACCACCGGCTGGGTCAGCCGCCCCCCCCCCCCCCCCCCACTGGCCCCCCCGCTGGCCGCTGGCCGCCCGCATTGTCATTCATTAAGGCGCGGCTATACCAAAGAATCAACAGTCAGTATGTGGTTGGCATAGATCCTGCCAAGTGACATACCGTTCAATGTAGAATTTTGCCCACCAAAAAAAGACAATCCTACCTGCTTTACAAGCAGGCACAGGAGGACAACGCCACTCGCTTCCAGGGCAAGCAACGGGCCTTTCTCACTGGCGACGTGGAGGAGCTCCACGAGGACGGAGTCATCCTTGCCGTGGGGATGGATGGGCACTGGGACTGAAAAAAACGGGTCAGAAAGAGCCCAAAAAAGAGGCTTGAAAAGAGGCTTGAAAAGCGGCCTGGAAGGAGGCCTGGAAAGATGCCTGAACAGAGGCCTGAAGAGAGTTCAAACATACAGGCATAGGAAACGGACTCCAAAAACAGTAAAAAAATGATTAAAACAGTCATTTTGACGATATGTAATTATGCCAGAAAATGATGAAAAACGTGAAGTTCTTAAGTGGGCTACGAGATTGCTTTGTATACTACGGGGGAAGCAATGGCTTGTAGGGAAGGTATGAGCCTACGATATGATATAAGAGCTTAATCGGGTAGGCGCATTCACAATTTAAGGTAGAGTATAGTCGGCAAGGATGTAGCAATATCCATAGATCGAAGCCAGTCAGCGAGTCTTATCCCTCTCTTTATATAGGCCTATCTTTTGCAATCTGCCTATAGCTTGGTGGTGCATCAATCATATCAAACGGGTTCTCGTAGCTATCACCAACAAGCGCCCATAGTGCGACTCGTGTGATCCGGTGCCTAGCAAGTTTGCTTATTTCTTCGCGATATAGTTCTTTTAGTAATCTCTTATCTTCTTTAGAGACGTCAAAGCCTCGAGCTCTACAACAGCATCCACATTCAAAGGTACAATGTCCAACTCCAAGACCACGTATAGGATCAATCTTACGATTAAGACAACACCCACACCCACGAGCACAGCATCCATGTCGGCTAGCACAATCTTCAACAAGCACGCGGTGCATATACCATTTAGGATAGGACCGCCATAGCTCAAACGCTCTTAGCTGATGCCCATCTGCTAGATAGGAATGATAACACCACCACTTTTGCTCCAAGAACCAGTTGTCCAGAAACAAACGGAAGTTTCCTGTAAACTTATCAAACATGAAGATATATATACGAGGCCTCTGGTATAAGTTCTAGAATATTTCATTTTCTTTTCTTTTCTTTCCACCTTTCATATATCAAACATGCTCGCCCCTAGACATATATAATTTCACTATCCAAGCACAGACATCGTGCTTTCAGTATAGAGAGTCAACAGGGCTATATATAGTGTAGCGTCCAAATGATTCTTTGATAATGTTAGTTGCAATTAAGCAAATTCACGACCCATAATCCATCGACGCCTGAACTAACCCGCTATATCGATAGGACATATGGTTTCGAAAGATCGGTCTTCGAACCAGACATGAAACGGTTCTACTGGATATGGCGCACCGAATTCGCGCAGTGGACGAGGAATTCTACAACGAATATTTAAACATCATTTTAACTGGATGGGATGCGTAGTGCAGAACGCCATATCATATCCACCGACGAGCTCCTTGTTCACATCGAAGTTAAACACATCGAAGTGAAAGGCAAAGTTATTGCTTCTCATGTCTTCTACAAGAAGTGTGTTAGAATTCCATAGCCCGCTCTCGAACTGAGACTAACATAAACTGGTTAGCTCCCATACCGCGCACACCTCGACACGCCCTTCTGGTTCTAATAGTGATTCCGACTCTCCAGAATCTCAAATACAGGCTAGATCCCTTCGGGTATCTGGTTTCTACGGGTAGCACTAGTCATTAGCTTCTACAACAAACTCATTTCTACTCAAGCAACTATGCACCTAGATGTCTCCGTTTCAAACCTCCCTTCTAGCAGTAATCGTAGCTTGACTTCCGATCCAGCGGCCCTGCGTCTCAGTTTACATACTATCACACTCGGACACTTTTCTCTTTGTCTATGTAGTCATGGACGGTCAATACTATTGTATGGGTGAGCTACATCTTGAGATTACTACGTAAATACATTCAAACAGTTGGATGTATATTTAATGGATAATACCGGTATCTAACAATGGTGTGAATACATAGTGGAAAAAAGTAAAATTGTCTCAAAGACTTTCATTCTACTTACTAGTTACCCGTGGACATCACCTGTTCGGTCGTCAACCACAATACTTCATATCTAGTAGCATCAGAAGTAAATCTCAGTATCCAGAGCCATGTCTGACAATGGAAACGTCAGTGAACTATGATTACCTGTCTCCATCCCCTCCCCATCTAATACTATTCCTATATTCCAGTACACTTGCGTTCCGGTCATCAAATGGCTGATCAGAAACATCCGCAACGACGGCGTCGAAGGAGATGGAATCGCCACCTGGAACGCCATCCTGAATCTGCGATTCCCATCTACACAAGGCTTCTGCATTCGCCCGTATATCCACTGCGCTGTACGTGGAAATCTAGGCTGGGTCGAGCTTCAACTTTCCCATTTGAAAGACGGCCGCCAAGATCCAGTTCTTGTTCTGTACTATCAGCGCGTTGATAGGCAGAATGATAACCAGTGGGAAGATGGACAGAGAGAACTGGAGCTGTATCTTGCGTTTCGGTACCGTCACTTCACAGAAGATGCGGCTCCTATCTATGGCATCCTTGCGATTGGTGCCAAGTTGAAGGTCTTCGAGTACGATACTCCCTCCCGCAGTATCGAGCGATTTGTTCCGCCTTGGGATTTGGACCGTCATGATGAGCAGGTTTGGAATATGCTCAGGAAAATCAACAGGGACCATACCGGTAGTGGTGGCTATGAAAAGACAGGTGTGAAGGCTGAGTCGGGTGGGCATGGGTATGAAAGGCTGGAGATTTTCTGTTGAGGGAGACTCACGGGGTTTCATGCAGCAAGTCAAAGACTCTAGATTAGCTCTCGCTTGAGAAAGGATATGAGATTCTCGAAATGGGGAGGTATGGACAGCATGATGATGCTGCGTTGATGGGGGATGGGGACTGTGCAGCAGAAAATGAGCGCGATGCTGAATTCAGTATTCCAAAATCGATTAAGGTTTACCATAGTTTTCTTATCTTTTCAATTTGAAACGCTCAAGAAGTTCTGGCACCGTTGAGACTCTTGAATTCATGGGGTATAGTGTAACAAAGTCGCTCATAATATCATACAAAATAGGTGATTAATGGGAAAGGTCCATAATAGCCACCCAAAGCAAATTACAGCAATGCGTGGAGGCTCATTAATACGATCAATCGAGAGAAATCGTGTTTTCACCAAGCTCATGAGGAGACATATCCCTCGGCGAGGTTTTCGATAAGCCCGGAGAATCCACGGCCAAGGATGAAGGCGACATAGATAAGCGTGGGAACGGCTCGGTTAGGTTGTCGGACAACCGGCGGCTTGATGACTCGCTGAAGGTCCGTTTCGGGGTATTAAATTGATCTTGAGATCGGATACTTGGACTGGTGGATGTTGCGGCAGGCTAAACAAGTAATCTGGTTAGTTTCTTCATCGAGGCCGGAAGGTGAAAAATCTCATACTTTATCACCACCAACCGGATCAAGGCCTCGACTCAACGCCAACTCGTGTGCAGCAAGCCGGCGTCTCGCAATATCCGCTTCTTCTTCCAATGCGGCGCGCTGCTCTTCTGTCTTCAAGTCTGCCATTGACGGTGTGTCAATAATTTGAGCAATGGCGGCGTCATTGTAACTAGGCGATCGCTTTGGGGAGCGTTTCTTCTTCCGTTTTGCCTTTTTGGAGGACGCGGCGCCTAGACTGGACGCCGCCGCAGACTCTATAATTTCAGACTTCGCCCCGGACTGATCATCTGATTCCAAGCCTGTTCCCCGGCGCCCGAAAGCAAGCGCGAACTCATCATCAAGGGGCACTGCATCTTCCTCCTCATCACTAGGGAATAGATCCCCGCGCGAGCTAAGGGAGTTGTCCGTTCCGCGGGAAGATTGGGTGGCACTGCGATTCCTCCCATTAGGGGTCGGCGACAAGTGACCTCGATCATCATCGTCATCGCCCATAGCTTCCATTAGCGGCTCGTCTTCGTGCGCATAGCGCCGGGCGCCGGGGTGTTCTTGGAGATCAGCAGCCGAAGGCCGATACTTGACTCCCCTTGCACCGAATCTCCACGGAAAGCGTTCGAGAAAGCCAAGGAGAGAAGAACTGGGAATCACAGTTGGGTCGTCCCGGTTGTCCGGAATGTGCACGGTGCTCCTTCGCCGAGTGTTGCGTGTCCCGTAGCTCATCCTCCTGGGCCGACGCGGCTGGTCAGCAGCTCCGCGCGCCAGCCCGCTGCCAGCAAGGAGGCGGTCGAGTTCGCCAGTACCCCATCCGATTAAGCTATCATCATCTTCTTCATTGGCCCAGTCGTCGTAGAAATCAAAGTTGGCTTCGGTTTGGCCGCGTCGTCGCCGCCTTAGGTGGTCTTCTCGGCTCGGGAGGCAAGGTGCTGTACATACAGCCACACAGTTTCCAATGGATTCAAAACACGGGGATATGTAGTTGTGAGAGAAAGTATAAAGCCCCTCTTGGGCGGTTTCGTTGGCGGTCTCAAGGTTATGGGAGATCTGATTGATCCGTTGTCGGATGCGGGGGTCGCGCGGTCGCATCATCTTGAGCAACGGTGTAGATCAATAGACACTGCTAATGATAGATCTTGTGTGATTCGCTCCACCCGTCGCCGGCGACATTGGAAATGTTATGGAGGTAAGCAGGGGCAAGTGAAGTAGCAAGACGACCTCGGGGATCCCGACGATGTCATTCCTTGCTGAGTCAGCGCGGATAATCTTGGGGGAAATTTAGGTTGATGAAGATGCGATGAGGGAGACGCATTGAGGGGATTTAGAGAAAGTATTTTCTCTGTCTCCAAGATGGTTTACTATGTTCGATTCCTTAAAACCCCCAGGATTCAGCAACAGAAAGGGTCCATCTATCTCTCCGCTCTTATCTGCATCACAACTGATCTGGGAGACTCTTTTCTCGCTGAAGATATTGATTTGATGCTGATAGCTGAGAAATCCTCTGGGGCTACGTTTCAGAAAGAGACAAAATGGAATGCCAGTAACCGCGAACTCGCTATTACCCTGGGTCCTCTCCCATCCAATATGGCCCAGCAGTCTATGGTGTTGACGGTTAAAGTGCCGCACCCACCAGGATACTCTACACCCAAATATCCCCCCATACCATTAGTGGTTGCTGCAACAAGTGCCCCATTTGGGCCTCAATCGGTGCCAGCAGAAAAACTGGTTCAACGGCACATTCAATACAACGGCCGCGAATCACTACCCATAAAAATCTGGGAAGAGACAGGAAATAGCATTGCTCGGCACGTATGGTAAGCCATTGTTCTAGTTACCTTTTGTTTTCCCCCTCGACATGCTAAACGGGGATATTCTCAGGGATGCGGGCCTTGCAACAGTTACATATCTTCACATGATCTGTGAAAATATCAAGAAGAAAAACAAAGGCACTGAACCTAAAATACCAGCTTTGAAACGGGTCTTATCCAACGTCCGCAACGCACCTCTTCAGGTAGTTGAACTAGGGGCAGGATGTGGGATAGCGGGAATTGCATTGGCATCAATGCTTCCCAACTGTTCGGTCTTACTGACGGACCTCCCTGAGGTTGAGGATATAATAACACGCAATATTAATGCTGCCCAACTCGCAACCATGTCCAGTCTTCAGTATCAAAACCTTGACTGGGACAACCCACCAGATGAGCTCTGCCCCCGGCCCATTGAGCTCATTCTTGTCTCTGATTGTACGTACAATGCAGACAGTCTGCCAGCGCTAGTCTCTACGCTCGACCGATTGGTTCGGACATCTCCAGAGGCAATAATCTTGGTGGCTTTGAAGAGACGGCATGACAGTGAAACGGCGTTTTTCGACTTGATGCAGTCGGCAGGATTTACGGCGGTGCAGGACAGCGTTGAGATCCCCTCGCAACACGATGAGGTGGATGAGATTGAATTTTACTGCTACAGCCGACCAACTGGGGAATGATAGCATGGAACATTGGACCCGGGGATAAAATGAACAGTTACAAGGACAGTCCTCTTGGTCGAAAGAAAACATAAAACCTTACAGCTAACAATACAATAATGACATCTAAGCTTGGAAAACAAGCAAAAATCTGGTTTGTCTACAATCGCCGTGTACGAAGTGTCTCGTAGATGCTCCAATCCCGACAATGCGGTTTTTGCCCTGGAGATTAATCCTATAATTCATCCAATTCATGATATACAATCTGCATTTGACGGTTGAAATGTTCTATACTCCAAACGGCGGACCTTTGAATTACTACATGCTACTCTTAATGTGACGATCTAGGCCGGATCCGACTCGAAAAGGTACGCGTGCGCCGCGTTGGTGTGTCCATGATAAGTGCCATCGGGGTGATGGAAGAAGCCTTGGGCGCTGAAGCGGTCGCCGATAGGGCGCCGCAAGGCATTTTTCTGGGGCGACGCAAGTAGGTCCCAGAGCTTAGACGGCGACGTGGCCGGGCCGGCAAAGCGGCGGGCAGTGCCGATGATGGTGATAGGCTCGGGTTTGGACCTGACAGTTTTTTTTGTTCCAGAGCTTCCAGGAGTTTGATCTGGACTTCCCATCTTGCCCATGCCGGGCATTATATTTCATTATATCTCATTATATCTCTTCCATTTTGACGACCTCTTAGTATATCGCAGCCACCTTCTGTACTTGGCCCACAAATGCGATGCATACTTAGTGACTTGTTTAGACCGACATTGAGGGTGGAGTTTACATGTATTAACTACCTAGTGGCTACATGTACCCCCTTCTCTGTATTAGCGTATTTTGATATGCGGCCGGATTTTCTGCTAGTAATAAACACGTAAGCTTCATATCAGATAGTTACATTGAATTGTGAGGGTCTTTAGGGGCGAATGGAATAACTGAGGGGAATATTAAACAGAAATAGGATCGAATACTAAGTCCGAATACATAGGAGAAACTAGGTATTATACCCGGAAAATCATATGATAATAGGTACTAGACATACCATACAAAAGTGTATATACAGTTAGTCTCGATGTCCGCACAGATTGTGAAATAGCGGGTTTTGTCATTTTAGAGCAACCTCAGTCATCCATACCATACATTGTTCGTGCACCAGCTTTGTGTCATATCATAATAATTCTGGTGGTATTACACTGCGTATAAAACCAGAGATAACTAAAGATAGTATTTACAACATAATCCCCACAAACAACACAATCAGGCCCCGCCCAGGAATCATCCGCGACGTGCTAAACCTCTCTAGCAAGAAACCGCGTTGTTATATCAGTAGTTTCATTGGCTGCCGTCTTAACTGTACTTTTGCTAAAACCCCGCCCTTGCCGTCCCTTGATACAGCCCTGTCTAAGTGCGAGTAAATACGATTAGGTGTCGGACTGGGATATGCCCCGCCCCTTCCCCCCCCCTCTGGGCCCTATACAGGAACCGAGGTTTTTGTTAAGGTCTAGTGGTAAAATAGGCTGTATTTTTCCCACATTAGGAGCTAACGCATGATGTTTCGCCTGATAGAGGAGCTGCTAGAGTCAACGGCAGCTCGCCTTTTAAAGGGTCTAAATCAGGGGCTTAACTCGTCGGGTCGTACTTATCCAGCCCGGTGACCCTTCGGAACTTGGAGAACCAGCAGCCCGCCTAAACTGCTTGCTCCCTCGGGGTCGTGCCTAAAGCCATGCCGTACATGTCGATAGAAGCCGCCGTAGCTGCGGCGGTTGCGGCGTACCTAATTTCAAGTTTCATCTACAATATCGCCTTTCACCCGCTTCGTTCCTTCCCCGGCCCGTTGCTGTGGCGAGCCACCCGGCTCACCAAGTGCTACCACTTTCTCCGAGGCGATATGCCCTTCGCCGTGCGCGACCTCCACATACGCTACGGGCCGGTGGTGCGCATATCCCCCGAGGAGTTGGCCTTCGCCGACGCGCAGGCCTTCAAGGATATTTATAACCAAAAGATGGTCAAGTGGAAGGGCATGTATGGGTTCAAACCCGAACACATCCAGGACATCGCCGGCGTATCCGAGACGCGCCATCATGCTTTTATGCGCCGCCACCTCGCCGCGGGCTTCAGTGAGACGGCCCTGCGTAACCAAGAGAGCATCCTCGTCGACCATGTCGACTTGTTGATCCACCAGCTACGCGAGCGCAGCGCCGGCGGGCGGGTACCGCAAGACATGCGCAACTGGTTCAACTGGCTCACCTTTGACATCACGGGCACGCTGGTCTTCGGCGCCGAATTCGGTGGTCTCCGCCATGCCAAGTCGGCTGAGTGGGTGGCGATGATGACGGACAACGTCCGCGTCTTGATGTGGATGAGTGCCCTGCTCGGCTTCGTCGGTACAACCCTGCGCCGCGTGCTCGTCTGGATCCTTATGAGCGGCATTATCCCTTCTGTCGCAGCCCACGAGCAGAGGACGAAGAACATGCTGCGTGAGCGGATGGACCGTAAGGGTACCTACGATGACCGCGACTATATCATCGATGGCTTAATCAACATTAACGACCCAAGGGTCGAGTCTAATGCCGTGGTGCTTATCATGGCAGGCTCGGAGACGACGTCGACAGCCCTTACCGCCACGCTATTTGCGCTACTTCAGGCGCCTGAAAAGATGGCACGCATAACGAAGGAAGTGCGCTCGACGTTTAGCCGCGATGAAGACATCACCATGGCTTCCACTCTGGACAAGCTGCCGTATCTTATGGCTTGCTTAAGCGAGGGCCTGCGGTGGTACCCCCCTTCGGTGTCCGGCTTGGCTCGAGTAGTCCCAAAGGGCGGTGCTAAGATTTGTGGCCACTATGTTCCCGAAGATACTATTGTCGCCGCATGGACCTGGTCCGTGACACGAGATACGCGGTATTTTACCGACGCGTACAGGTTTCATCCCGAGCGGTGGCTCCTAGGGGAGGACGAGCGCTTCGCCAACGATGAGCTAGATGCGTCGCCGCCCTTCAGCATTGGGTCCAGGAGCTGTATTGGTAAAAAGTAAGTGGATGCCTTATTGTCTGTCTGCACCGAAACCTTGTCTGTTGACTAACATTTGCTGATGCAATAGCCTCGCCATGGCCGAATTGCGCCTTACACTGGCCCGCCTGGTTTATAACTTCGATTTATCATTGGCCTCGCCGTTCAAGGGTGACTGGTTTAAGGGCCAAAAAGCATATCTTGTCTGGGACAAGCCGTCCGTGATGGTGACCTTGACCCCAACGGGCGAGTCCTGATCTGGCTGGCCTGGTCCCCGGCAGTTGAGTCGTGTTGTTCATTCGCCGCTCTTCTTCCAGGATATTTTATTTTCCAGGTCACAGAGGCATTGTAAGCCAGATTAGCCTATGGCCGACCGAGAACTAAGCCTACCTCGCCATTTTCCCAAATAGGTGGCCGCTCGATGTTAAGAGGAGTAGGGTTTGAGCATGATAGGGACATGAACAGGATCCTGTGCGAAGTAACAAGCGTTAGTATCACAAATAAAATAAAGTTTATGTCTGAGAGATTTCGACACAAGATAATAGAGGAATCTCCTGAATTGAGGCTGTGATGCTGTGAAATAATCAAGTGATAATGTGATAGTATTTGAAGGGAGAAGGGTTCCACCATAGCTTGCCGTACATTTGGATATTGCTGAGGCAGCCGTTTCTTGCACCATCGGCTCCCCGTTGTTTTCTGGAAAATCCTTCCGTAGTGGGTCCTTTCCGTAATGGGGCTGAAGTGGCCGCTTGATCAATCCGTCGGGTGGGTCAGGTTGGAACAGCCAATCATGGGGGTTGCAAAAAAAGAGGACCTTAAATTGAATACGGGTATACATCGGATCAATAAGCACAGCGTTGTACGTCGGGCTTGTAGGTACACATTCCCTAAAATAAATGAGAATCGCAATCGAATTCACGATATACCCCGGTGAACATTCAAAAGGGGCCATAAAAAAAAGAAATAGACCCATCTTTTAAGTCCAGCCTCACTAACACGTCCAATCAAATAGGAAAGGGATGGAGGTCTGCAGGCACTACGGGTAGTATAGCGGTTCACCTGGATCTAAGGAACTAGCATCGTTAGCGGCTGTACCTGCATCAGCCCTCATAATGAAAACAGCGGTTGACCCCGCCTGCTAAACCGAAGATTGGCCGATCAAGCGGATCATCGCCTCCAATTCGGCATACGCCATGTGTGGGATTAAATGGGACCTAACTCGTTAGGGTTGAGATAGTCAGAGCAGGGGCCGTGAGTACTGCTCTAGAAACCCTAGTCGGAGCAGCATTAATACAAAAAAGCACGAGTACACTTTACAATTCAAGATTGATCAGACTTTCCAGCATTTGGAAATACATATACAGCGCTAAATTAAAGCGGAAAAGGTTGTCCTTTCACCCATTGGCCAGTGCCCTGCACCCCCCTTGTTGCCTCGATATGTGCTTTCTATTCGACCAGTCACGTATCGACCTGATAGTTTGCCATATATCGACAGCATGCTCTAGATCCTATGCAAATCACATGTGTACTCGAACACATTTTCTTCTCATAGTAAAGTGTAGAGCAACTCGCCACTGTTGCTCCTTCCATTCAGTTCCCCAGACAATTGCAATTTTAGAACCTCTACCCCCCGAAGGGGGCGATCAGACACTCCACAATGCACAAGAGGAGATTCAACCTCCCATAGCCTCCGAAGGAACATCCCAGTATATCACGGGTCTCAAGCTTGGCCAGTTGTTGCTACAGTTACTTTAGTAACATTTCTAATCCTTCTTTATATGTCTATTATTGTCAGGGGTTTGAAATACATTTTCCTTACCTTCCTCACGGCTTTTGAATTGGGTTCGGCGCTATATGATGCTGCAAGTTCATCTAAGAGGTTGATTGTCGGATGAGCCGTTGCAGGGATGGGGGGCCCAGGTCTTGTCATTGGAACTTTAGCAATCATTGTGGCGGCCGCTCCTAAGCATCAGCAAACAGGTAAGTACATACCAGCTAGACCAACCTTCTAATTACTATCTATACGCTAACATAGTACTTCCTTTTGATCGGAGTCACGATGGGTCGTAAGTAACTGAGATAGGTACACTCTTCGCCAACTAGTCGCCATCTAACGTTTTACATCGGTCAGTCAGCTTGGTATCATGTGTGGACCCTTGCTCGGGGGTGTATTTACCCAACACGCGAGTTGGAGATGGTGTATGCTGTCCTTTGCTTTTCCACCCACAAGTCCCTTAAGCTTATTATTGTACTAGGGTTCTATGTGAATCTCCCTATCGGGGCAGTCACTGCCTTCATCATCATCATTCATATATCAAATCTAAATTCATCTCTCACCGATGGAACATTCGTCGAGAAGCCAATGGGCAAGATATGGGGCTTTTTAAGAAATCCAGACCTTGTAGGCTTCATGATATTCGCTGGAGTTGCATTGATTGTGTTCGTGTTATGGGAGCGTACTGTTGGCGATGTAATCGCTATGATTCCTGGTTCGATCGCTAGCATCAGAAAAGTTTGGTGCTCTTGTTTCTTTATGGGGTTATTTTCCGGATCTCTGCTCATCTTCTACTATCTACCCATTTATTTCCAGGCCGTGAAGAATGCTTCACCTTCTTTTTATAGGTGGGCCGACGCGAGTTGTAAACTGGAAGGGATATGTTGGAATCGTACTGTACGCTGACTGCTATGGGGTCGAGGATATAAAACAAATATCTATCCCAGTATGACAAGAAAGACATAGCCACTTGGCGGGCATCTTATTGGCATAATATTTCATATCCTTGGTGTGTATATTCCTAAGGCATCTTTCCATATATCCTTTCAGTGTTCTTTCTTCTGGAACTGTGAAACAACGGACCCACAAAAAGGATAATGGTGGATTAGTTCCGCCTTTTTAAAGTGCGTAGAACCAGTTGCGAGGTAGCAAAATTCAGCAGGTGGATAAGTAGTTATGTTGATGTCAAACCGAAGTCACGGAAGAAATGCCCGAAGCATAAATTGTTAGGAGCCTTAACGGGTTGGAAATAGCTCTTCTTCTGATGCCTACATATGGGATAATCTACTTTTGTAGTCGACTGAATGCGGAACTCTGCCCGGTGAGGGTTGGATAAAGTTTATGAAGCCTCTAGTCGTTGGTGAGCCATGGGCAGCTTTTCTTTTTACCTCAACAGGATCAATATACTTATGGAGTAGGTTCATCACTAGAGTTACATTGGAAGTCACTAAATTATGTGATAATGAGAAGCGTTCTGCATTTTCTAAACGATCACATCCTACAGGCTTCATTATCCCATCACTCAATGGCATAATTTTCGAAGGCAATCTACCTCTTCGGCCACAAGAACCAAGTTTGTGCCCAACCAAGCATGGCTAGCTAAGCTGGACAGGAAAGCGAATTTCCCCGTGATTGAACTAGGGTTCAGCTGGATGTTGAAGCGACTTAGGCCAATTGGAAATGGAAACAACTATGGATGATCATTTCCTGGTCTGTGCACGGAAGTGGAATCAACAGTGCGTCATTATGGGTTCTCGCCCAAGGGCCCATTTTACTCAAACAGCTTGATCCCAGTCCTGGCCCAGTCCTGGCTCAGTGGTGACAGGGTATCTTTAGAGTATATTTCTCGGCATTGTGCATTAGAACACCTGCAAGTATATTACATACATGTATGTCGGTGTACTAAAATTTAAACCTTCCGGTAGTACAGAGTATAGGGTACCAATAATACGGCCACGTATGTATCTGGATGTACGGAGTACCCGAACTCTTCAAATGTTCAAATGCTCATCAAACAGGGATATACTCCCGGGAAGTTCAAGGGCAAATCACAGATTACACACACACCGCTACCATTGAATCCAGCAATTCCGATAGCTGGGGGTTGACTCCTGCATCATGCAGTCACACCTAGGATAGGAAGAGCTATAGCAGAGGAAAATAATAATGGATGCCTAAAGGCCCGAAATAATCGCGCATGATTGTCCGAAAGAGTAATAGAACGAAAGAGATCGAGAAGAGAGGACGATAACTAGAGAACCCTTTTTCCGGGCTGAGTCAGCACCGCTTTTTTTCCCCCCACGAAGCTCTCCGTCATCTCTTCAAGGCTCTGCAGGACTCTTTTGCAACATCCTTTCTATTTGGGCTCTACAGCTATTATTTAGGTGAGTCTTTTATTTGCAAGTTAACTTGATTTGGATGTCCGTGTGTGACCCCGTGCGGCGTTTTATTTCCCCCAATGGTCGTGTGCCCTAAGCCTCGCTCACTGGCCCCCCCCCCCAAAAAAGAAAAATTTCTCAAATCCAAAAAAATCTCTCCCTTCCTTCTCATCCGTCCTTTTTTCTCTCTCATAGTTATCATAGCACCTGGAACATACCAGGCTTGCTAACCACTCGTCTGCTCTTAGATCTCTTTGGTCCTTTAGGTCCACTCCTCAGACCCTGCCTTTGGAATCCCCAAAGGCGATTTGGTCACCACGGCTCCAGTAGCCTCCCTTCTGGTTCTTAGCCAAATTGTCTCCACTCAACGTCTCCGCGACACTCTTAACAACATTCCACCTCCTGGTCCTCTCTGAACTCTCGTCCGGTGCGCCTTTTTTCGTCCCGTTGACGACCCCGGAGATTATTCCCTCGTTCTCTGAGCTGCCGCATAGGACTTCTTTCAAGGTTCTTCCTCTTCAGGGGGAAGGGTCTCGGAGGCTTGGTCCAGTCAACTACGGTTGTGACACTTTTCGTCCTCCCTAACGCGCAGTCGCCTGCCGGTTTTAAAAACCTCTTATTATCTCTCTGTTTTCTATTCAAATTGTGCTGAGTCGCAGCGGCATGGTTATGGCACCGACTGCGTGTGTATCGACTGCTGAAGTATGCACCTTCAAAAAAGACTATACCAATAGTCTGGACCATCTCGGTCTCGTGAGCAGTCATGGCGGGGACAACAATTTGTTGCAATCATCGTTGACTGCCAAGGAACTTGTTTTGGATGTGCTGAAGAAGCGGGCGGCGGAAGTGGATGTGGACCACTGTGGTCCTGGTGAAGAGGATGCCTTTTACGTGGCGGATATGGGTGAAGTGTACCGCCAGCATATGCGCTGGAAGATGAATTTGGGCCGTGTGAAGCCCTTCTATGGTAGGCATCTCTCTGCCACTGGGTCGCCCCCTCTGGAGCCCTGCTAACGAACAATCAACAGCTGTCAAGTGTAACCCGGACCCGGAAGTCCTCCGGCTCATGGCCCAGCTTGGAAACGGTTTCGACTGTGCCTCCAAGTCTGAGATCGATATGGCCCTTCAGACGGGCATTGATCCTAGCCGCATTATCTATGCTCAGCCTTGCAAGACCAAGTCTTACTTGCGCTATGCCGCCGAGGTCGGCGTCAAGCAGATGACCTTCGACAATGCCGACGAGCTGTACAAGATCAAGGCTACCTTCCCTGAGGCGGAGCTTTACCTTCGCATCTTGACCGATGATTCGACCAGCCTGTGCCGGCTCAGCATGAAGTTCGGTGCTTCCATGGACCAGGCTCGTTCCTTGCTTGAATTGGCTTATAAATTGGACCTCAAGGTTGTCGGTGTGAGTTTCCACGTCGGATCTGGTGCCGAAGATCCCGGAGCTTTCCTCAAGGCCGTGCAGGATGCGCGCTTGGTCTTCGATCATGCGGGAGAAATCGGCCACGAACTCCACACTCTGGATGTTGGCGGCGGCTTCTGCCAGGACACATTTGAGAAGTTCGCGGGTATGCTGGGCGAAGCCGTGGACAACTATTTCCCGCCGAACATTCGTGTGATCGCCGAGCCCGGTCGCTACTATGTAGCCACTGCCTATACTCTCGCCGCCAATGTCATTGCGCGGCGTGACATTCCGGATCCCGCTGATCCCTCTCGCGATGCTTTCATGCTGTATCTGAACGACGGCGTCTATGGCAACTTTTCGAACATCATCTTCGATCATCAGCATCCCGTCGCCCAGGTTCTCACCTGCGCCTCGGACGGCTCCCAGCCTGGTTCTCCGAACTCTGCGACTTCGGAGGACACCACTTACTCTATCTGGGGCCCAACCTGCGATGGCATCGATGTTATAAGTGAGCGTATTTCCTTGCCTGGCCTTCTGAACACCGGTGACTGGCTCTACTTCGAGGAGATGGGAGCCTACACCAAGTGCAGCGCTACCCGTTTCAATGGCTTCTCTGACAACCACGAGGTGATCTATATCTCGAGTGAGCCTGGTGCCTCTGCTTTGCTCAACTACTAGTTTGAAATTTGTTTTGCTTGACTTTTTACAATTGTGTTTTGTTTGGAATCACTTCTTGTTCGGTGACCTCTACCCTTCGGGGCCCGTCTAATATAGTATCTATCGTGCGTTCTCGCTACGTATGGGATCGTGTTTTTCGCCCACTAGATTCAAAGTTAGAGTAGAGCTCATCTTGTTACATCAAAATTAAGACTAGATAGATACCTTTTGGTATCTGTTGTGTCTGACAATTTTTCTCTATGATTATCGTTCTTTCTTTCGGGCGTAAAATATGAGACGTCTTGTTTGATTATGGGTGTATCATGCTCTATCATCATATTTATAAGGTATCACGAGAAATAAACAAAATCACGGCATCTATAAACAGAAGCCAGGCCCGGAAAAAAACTAGAACAGGCGCTCCACACTCAACTCCACACCCTCTCCCTCGCCCGCCTGGACTAGTCCACCACCTTCAAGCTTCTTCTTCCACTTGGCCGACTCGTATCGAGCCAGAATCAATGTGATGCGGGCAATAACAGCCGGATCTGCAGACTCCGCAACCACAGCGGAAGGAGTGCTTGTCCAGCGTCCAAACGCCCAGTTGAGAATATAATACTGCACCCCAGAGGTCTCGATCTTCTCTCTCGTATTCAAATTATCTGATGACTCCACCGGAAGATCCTGGTTCGAGCAGCGAACAATCCCCTTGATGCGATACACCTCCTCACGAGGCGCCAAAGAGAGGAACCGCTCGAGAGCAGCAACATCCACCGTCTTCCCCTCAACATCAGACTTCAACAAAACAGACAGAACCTCAACCTCAGACTGATGATCATGCTGGTGCTGATGTTCATGTTCATGTTCATGTCCATGTCCATGGTCCCCGGTAACCCCATCCTCAGACTCCTTAAACAAAGCCCCATCAATCCCAAGCATAACATCCATATCAACCCGACCTTTATTCGACTTAACCCAAGGTGTCTCAACCTCCAAATCCCCAACCCGATCAAGACAAACATCAAACCGTTCCGGCAAATCCTCCCACTTATTAAACACAATCAAATCGGTATACCTCGCCTGGATCTTCGCCGTGTACGAAGTATCCTCATACCCCTCCCAGTTCTCGACATCAATAACGCTAATAACACCATCGAGAACGAAGTGTCCGCCCTCTTCGCGCGCAAGCCGATTCACCTCCATCGCGAGCGTTGCGGGGAACGCGCTGCCGCTGGTCTCGATCACGATGCGGTCGGGTTGGACTTCGTTACGGAGCTGTTCTAGTGCGTCGCTGAGTTGGCCGACGAGGTTGCAGCAGATACAGCCGTTGAGCATTTCGCGCACGCCGCTGATGGATTGTGTTGAGGCTAGCTGGGAGTCCACGGCGACATCGCCGAATTCGTTTTTCAGGAGGGCGAGCTTGTAGGTCTTTGGGAGTTGAGGGATTAGGTTGAGGAGGAGAGTCGTTTTCCCTGAGCCCAGGAACCCCGTCACGATTGTTATGGGGATTGGCGCCATTTTGTGGTGGTTGGCGACTGTGTTGGTGTTTGAGATTGTTGCATGTTGGCGGCGTCAGGCTATCGCGGATCACCCGATGGAGGGGTAGCCCTAGTTTAGGAGCCCTAATTACCATTTTGGGGTTGCAGATGTAGCGGTGTCGACTTCAACTTAAAAGTGATTTTTTTCTCCAAAGGGAAAGTAATATTACCCATTATCTAGGTCTTCGATCAATTGAATAGGAATGGCAAGTAAGTACGGTACATCCGAGAAGTGCAGGCTTGCACATGGCAACGATCGCTAAACAAACCACCCAAAATGAACGCGAGTTCGGGCGGTTGCCTCAATATCTGCTAGATCAGGCTATATTTAGATATTTGCGCTATCCTGATGACCCCCAAAATCATGTTCTTGACACTATCATGCCATAGAATACTCACGGCGGTATCAGGTAGATGCTTACTCCCTCACCTCAAGACGGAGTTTATTTGTGTCCCAGGTAGCATGGAAGGCTTACGTATGATGCAACTTATGTATCTAGTCCCATGCTGTATGGCAGGATAAATCGTTCTGCGTGGTGATTTCAGTAGTTGCACTGTTTATTCGTATGAGTCAAGAGACAGGCTGACCATAAGTACTACCTGGGTACTTGGGTAACACCTAGGCAACCCATGGAGGTGACTGGAAAGCGCTAACAAGGCTACTCGTCAAAAGGAAGTTCCATTCTCCCATGTCTACTTTCCTTCATGTAGATACAATAGAAATGAAGCCACCCAAGTCATCTTCCCAATGTGGCAAGCTGCGTATGTACCCTTTAAGTTGGGCTTACCCCTGAATTCTGGCGAATATATAATGCACGTCTTCCCTTTTAGCAATAATCAAGTCATCTCCGTATCTCTAGGACTATCTTATAACATCATAGTTCATCCATATGACGCACAAATACACACCAAGATGCAAGGTGAATGCGAGAGTTGAGATTGAGTAGTTGAAAAGAAATCACGGAGACTAGTATGGTTATATACACCACGAGATTCACGGGATATGCCCCCAATAATTCAGACCTGGATGACTCTGATGCACGCAAGAGCTTTCAAGGAACGGCAGTTACCCAAATCCGACCCCAACAATCAGATGGTATCGCACGAAGTATTAATGTCTTGAGACAGACCGACTCTTCGACCCCGTTGTTCCCTTGGTCGGTCTATCGCTCGCCCTATTCCATGATCGATTCTCAGACTCAGACCGCTCGCGGCGGGAGTGACGTGCCGGTGCACCGCGGCGGGTAACTACCGAGTGGTCTGTGGACTGCTGGTTGTGGTTTTGCTCGGATTCGGCAGAACGATTCATACTTCCGGATCGGGAGCGCATTTTGTATGATGGAGTTTAAAAAAAGAGGGTTTCAGTTGATTATTGTTAAGTTGAGTGGTAATAAGTGAAGTAAAGATATTGTCTTCTCTTATACAGAGTGGCGGCGGTGGCACAGTTGATCCAAAGATTGATATTTACTTCATTGTGAACGTATCTTGATGTAATATACAGGGCCACTTGAGGAATCCTTTTATCAACTCAATAGTATTGGTTAATAGGTTGATGTGGACGGGATCGACATATTCATGATTTTACCAGGATAAGTAGCATGACTCGGAACCAAACACAAAAGGAATGGATAGAATCGGGGCAATCAGAATAGACCTTCAAATTCTTAGCTCAGCCCGTACCACCATATCGCACGACTTATCTCCTCCCATTGGGGCCCCTGTAAATCACAGGCAAAAAGAGGCGAAGAATAAACTTTCCCCTGGACCTCGGTCCAGCAGCAGGAAATGAATTGACTGCGGTGACGGAAAGATTTCGGACCTCGTCAAGACTTTGATTATATTTCTTTCAATCTCACTTGTTCTATAGTCCCAGTCCCTTGGTACGCTCGCTCGTATTGGGTTAGCTGGATACCTTAAATTCTACTGCAAAGGTTCCATTATGTCGGGTTCCAAAATTACCTGTTACTTCGACATCGTCAGCCCCTTCGCATACATTGCGTTTCATGTGCTTCAAGTATGGAAACTAGCAATCCTGACAAGGACTTATTTATCTAATATGATTCTAGCATTCACCCGCCTTTGCGAAATGTGAAATCACGTATGTTCCGGTTCTCCTCGGAGGTTTGATGAATGCGTGTGGCAACAATCCTCCCATCAACATCAAGAGTGAGTGAATGTTTTGAATCTGAGTGTAAATGTTGTGACAAGGAAATCTAATAAGTGTACTTGCTATTCAGATAAGAAAGACTACATAGGCCAGCAGCGAGTGCGATGGGCCAAATACTTCTCAGTCCCGACCACGGAGGGATTCCCTAAAGGTTTCCCATTCCGCACACTATCCGTGCAACGTGCACTGTGTGCCATCTCCCAGAAAACACCAGAGAAACTCGCTCCGGTGATTGGGGCGCTATTCCACGCGGTCTGGGTTGAAGGCAACACAACCATTGGGGAACCTGATGGCTTTGTCCCGGTGCTCGAGAGTGTGCTTGGGAAGCAAGAGACGCATGAGATTATGTCTGCTGTAAGTCTGCTACAGTACTACTCGGGATTACACCTCGTTCCGTAGACATACGACCGCAAGGACCGAGCTAACTTAGCCCCTAGATGAACGGTTCGGACATCACGGCCCTTCTGACCACGAATACGACTCGTTCCTTTGACTCGGGTGCTTTCGGGCTACCATGGTTTGAGTGCACGAACTCCAAGGGTGAGACTGAGGGCTTCTGGGGCGTTGATCATTTGGGCCAAGTGGCTGACTTCCTGGGTTTGGATCGCGCGCTCGATAGAGGATTCAGGGCAGCTCTGTAGGATGTGGGTGGTATAAATTTGGATCCAGTCTCGTGTATCAAAAAGTGTATTGTGAAATTTGCGGCTCAAATAGTCTCAATTTTCCCGACGTCTAATTATACATGTTGATTAATGAGCCTGTCCCCGAGAGAACAGACGCGGTCGGCGACACCTGTAATGTCCAACAAGCCATAAAAGACAAAATGATTCTAGATCTCCAGTCAATGGAGACTAGACCCCCAAACGCCAAGAATGTGCTTTTATTTCTCTACTTCGTTGGTTGTCGGTGCTTATTGCTCATATGTTTCGCTCGTAGGAAATCGCAAATCTGTTCATTGCTCATTTTGTCAATGAATTCGCGCTCCTCCTGGGAAATATCTAAACACAACAGCTTCGTCAACAACCGAGTCACGTATGGTGCCGGGGAACACATGGAAGCAAAGAACATACTTTCAGATACCGGCTCCTCGACTTCCTTGGCTCCACCTGAAATGGTGCTAATGTGATCCTGAACAGTCTGTAACGCTCCCTGCGCAGCAGGTAACGCACCCTCCATTAGAGTATCCTTGGCGGCGATAAACCTCTCTTGGGCGGCCGAGCCAACGGAATTCCCAAACTCCGATATGGAGCCACCAGCAGCTATCGAGTCGAATTGGTGTTTCACGCCCGCGAGAATACCTTCCTGTTCATCGGCTTTAGGGAAAGCAGCATTATTCACCTCCACCTCACCCTCGGCCTGCATCCGTTGTTCGAGCGCAACACTGGAATCCAGGTACAATGAGTCGCTGGAGGCGTTTGGGCTCATGGTAATGTGTTTCGCTTGTTTGGAGTGGGAGTATTTTTCGGAGTCCGGGAACGACATAGGTGCGGAGAATAATTGAATGGAATTATAAGCAAGGCGTAGGGCTGAGCCTGACGTAGGGCTGATTTCGGGTGATCTGTTCGGATCGAGTATTGGGACAGGCTATGACACTAGATAATATGGAGACTGATGACGACTATTCTCAGTAGGCAGCAGTGAATTGTTTTTGGGTAATTGAACTTGTTTCACTGGACTTTCCCACAGCCAAGATGTTGATCGTTCCTAACCATGACGTCACTATGTTCCACTTTAGAGTGATGCTGCGTTCATCGACGGCAACGATACTCTTAACTTCACTTTGAAATTATTTTTATAGTTATTTTTATAAGATATTGCTACGGAGGGCTAACTCTGGGGATCGACCTAGTATACACTTTATTCAAGGCATCGTTCTTGATCATTCTAATGACTGAATGAATCGTTGTCATGGATTGGTACCTGAATAGTTCAATTTAATAATGCACTATGCACTTGCCACATGCGATTATCTTCAAGACCTGACTAGTTATAGATCGCAGCCTGAAGGCCAGGAATGATCTCGAGATCCTTCGGCTTATAGGTATACTTCCCCTCACTAGAAATCTTGACATCCCGGTTTCTTCGCTGCTGCTGCGTTTGTCGAACGGTAACCCACTGCTCGGTTGTGAGGTGTTGCCCAAGTTCGGTGAACGCGTTGGTTGTCAAACCAAGCCTTTGGAGGAGTGGGCTGTTCTTAATAGGATCGAGGACAACGTGGTTGTTGGGGCTATGTTCATTAGACTATGACGACTCCGTATGCGGTATAATCGAAAGAACTTACCGAGCAAAGTACAGCACACCTAATCGATCAATGTGAGCTTGGTCAGCAGGTGGTGCATGTACCCGATGAATACTCGACTTAATCAAACCACCCGTGAGCGCGGTCAAGGCATCGCATGTGTTGATAGTGATTGTCCCATCTTGGGGCTTCACCCACTTCCATTGACCCTCTGAATTGAGAATCTGGAGTGCGGCTACGGGCTGCCGGAACAGAAGAGTAACTGTTCCCAAGTCTGTGTGGCCGGGACTGTAGAGCTCGCCGACCTTCTTGTTATCTTCGGCACTACGGGCCGCATAATGCATATAGCGCAGATGGTCCTCGCCCTTGACGTCGTATTGATGGTCACGGACTAGCTGATCTTCATCCGGCAATTCGAGCAGGATCGCGAAGAGGCGTAGAAGCTTCTCAACGACCTCGGTGTGGCATTTCTATAGTTTTGGTTAGCTAAAGGGACAGAAAACGATGATGAAAAAAGGGAACGTACGCGACTGAAAGCTTCAATCTCTTTAATATTGTCGGCGAGGACAGAAGGCTGGGGTCGCTCGTGATAACCGTCGAACTTTGGGAGATTGTACACCTGAACATTATCCTTGACGCCATTTCCTAGGCTGAATTAGGACGAGTTAGTGTTTGGTGAATTTGTCCGTGGAAGCGATATGTTTCTTACATTCGGTGTCCTGCAGGACGGTAAGAGTTGTATTCACCCCTCTCAAGATCACTCGCACTATGGAACTTCAGCTTCTCTTCAAGCGGCAGGGCATAGAACTCCCGGCCTAGAGCGAACTGGTTGTCGATCTCTTCTTGACTGATGTTGAAGTTCTTCACATAGAAGAACCCTATTTCCAACCTCCGATTAGCGCTAAACCTGAAGACAAAGTCCAATTAAAGTGCAGCTTGGGGATGGTCTCATACAGATCCAGGGCTTGGCATAGAGCGCAAGAAGGTATCGACTCACCAACATTTCTAACAGCGTGATCGAGCTGCTTGACAAGGTCTTCCTTGCCTCCTGGCTGTTCATACTGGCTCAGGTCCAGTGTGATCAGTTCGGCCCAGTCAACTAATGCCCCGGGAGTTGTCAGCAAGATGAAAGCAGCAAGAAACCAAGTATCACTCACGGTCTTCCTTGGTCACAGGGACCTGGTCATATTTTTCGATGTATTTGCTTGGCATATTGAATAGTGTATAAGTTTACGAGAGGCGATCGCTGAATATCTGCAGCGACTTCAAGTTACCGGTTACCACAACAACACCTTTAGGTAGGTGAAGTCGTATATAAGTCCACTCGCACTTAATTCCGATCGTATACCCCGCATCAGATAATCGGAGGGATTTGTCAAGAGCACGCAATAAATTCGTCCGATGAGGCCTCAGATAACGGGTAGTTTTGGTCTTTCGTGTGGTAGGCCGGGGTACGCGCACGCCATCACGCTTAAACATGTCGCCTCCGCCGGCGCATCAAACAAAACAGCAAATGTGCTAGCTTCGGTTTCACACCTCCTTTCGTCTCGTGAGAAGCTAATTTTGGCGATCTAGATTTGCTGAAGGCGCGATGGTGACAGCGGGTGGGGGAATTGGTTAACATCTCCATGGCTGGCTGTTTTTTATATGCCGAGATGCTATAGCAAGGCATCGTCCTATAAGAACTAATGGCGATGGTCTATCATTCAAAGTCTTTTTTCTTTTGCACATTTGGGAACAGCGTCGGACGTTTTCCGAGCCTTTCTCATGTCTGACCTGAAGCAAAAGGCTGGGAGATTGTCCCCTTTGGGGCTTATTAAAGAGGTCTTTAATTGGTATCCATCCTATTATCCTGCCGAAGAGAGAAAGTGAGTAGATCAATTTTAGGAATATATCTGCCAGGATATACTCACATTTGCAGATTATTGTTCAAGTTGGATTTGTCAATTTTGATCTTTGCTTGTCTATGCTGTGAGTATACGATTTCAATGAGCGTCTGAGAAAAGGAACTAACGAACTTAGTCTTTGTCAAGTACCTGGGTAAGCCTATTTCCGCGTCTATTTCTCTTTGACTCGATGCCAATATATTAAAGACCAGACCAACATTAGCAATGCGTACGTTAGTGGACTGAAAGAAGATTTCGGCCTCTACGGCAATGAGCTCAACTATTTCAATGTCTGCTACTTTACCTCATATGTGCTATTCCAAATCCCTGGACTACTGCTTATGTCCCGCCCAAAGTTGTGAGTCTCAGTGAAAGACCTCCGCACTAATAGCAAGCCACTGACAAATTCTATAGAGCTCGCTGGTTGTTGCCCACCCTTGAAGTCCTTTGGGGTATCTGCACATTCGCCCAAAGTCGTGCCACAAACGTACACCAGCTCTATGCCCTTCGTTTCTTGGTTGGAATGCTAGAAGCACCTGTGTTTGCAGGAACCCATTTTATTCTTGGTAAGTTCAACAAATATATATAGGCGTTTGAAAATGTACTAACCGTAATGAAGGTTCATGGTACACGGGACCCGAACTCTTCAAACGAGCTGGAACATGGTTCATCTGCAACCCTCTCGGTACCATGGTTAGTGGATACCTACAGGCAGCTGCTTATACCAACCTTTCTGGTGTTGGTGGTATGCCAGGGTGGAGGTGGCTGTTCATAATCGACGGAATATTTACCATCCCTGTGGCCTTGATTGGATTCTTTATTTTCCCCGGTATTCCTGGATCACCCAAACCATTTTATATGACGGACCGGGACGTTGCATTAGCCAAGGAGAGAACTACGAGGGCAAAAATTCGCCAGCCTGGCAAGATGAGTCTCGACGTCTTCAAGAGGACTTTCAAGAGGTGGCATATCTGGGTCTTCATCACTTGCTACGCGTAAGTTTGAAATATGTTTACCCATAGTGCAGTTAATATGCTAACCTCAGTTTAGTTGCATGATCATCTGCTCTTACCCAAGCAGTTATATGAGCCTATGGCTCAAAGCAGAGGGATACTCCGTGACTCAAATCAATCAGCTGCCGACTGTCACTTACGCGGTTAATATCGTGGCTTCCTGGCTAGGAACCACATTAGCTGCAATCTATCCGGAATGGATTATTTATACCATTGCATCGGCATGCTGTCTATTCTCGACATTATGCATGATAATTTGGAACATTCCTACAGGGTTGAAGTAAGATACCCTGTTAATCACCTCATATTGAGTCTATGTAGCTAACAATTCTCTTCGAAGATTCGTTGCCTGGTATGTCTTCGGAATGGCTGGATGCTTGAGTCCAATTCTCTACTCCACCATCAATATAATAGTGAGAGACGATGCCGAGGAGCGCGCTCTCATCATGGTGCGCCCATTTCCTTTCCCTGTGATAACACGGACTGATACTGACTATCTCCTGTCTCGCACTACAGGGTGCAATGATGACTTTTGGCTATTCTTTCAACATATGGGTTCCTTTGCTGGCATACCCAACTGCTGGCCCCGACGGTGCGCCTAGATGGCGGAAGGGATGGCCAATATCATTTGTCTTTTTCTTCCTGCTATGGGCTGGCTTCGTGGCTTCTGTTTATATATGGCGAAGGTAAAATCCCCTGGATAGGTAGTCAGGCATCTAACTGACATCTCATTCTAGGGAACAAAAGAGGGAAGCTTTAGTGTCCCCCCAAGAAAGTGGTAGTGACGAGGAAACGGACACTGTAATAGTTGATGGGACCCCGGCATTAAAGAACTAAATCAAACTCTTGTGGGTGGTTTGTGATTATTAAATGTCATCTAATCACCTAGGATATATACTAATAAATGGCTTATCCTTGGGTCTAAAGTATTTCACTTGAATATTGCTGGAAATATAAATGCCAAATTTTGACTTAAGATAGTTTCCATATCTATAAAACTAAGGCCATATCCTATATATACATTGGTAGTTTCAGTTCAGAACTCTCGGCATGATGCTAGCTATTAAATATAGACCTTAGCTCTAACCCGCCAGTTGGTTGCGCGGTAGTTGCCAAACCAACGCGGGAGGAGAACCATTACAAATGTCCGTCCTTGACAGCCATAGGAATAATTTTGCGCTGAATCTTGCGCTACCACTTACTACGTCCATTCAAGTGGCACACATGATGCTATGAATGAGCGATGGAATTCAATCACAGTTCGGCTTTGCTAAGCTATCTGAATGTACAAATGGTGCCTGAATTTCGTAAGATATCGGATATATATTTTACCAAGTAAGGGAACCATGACTTCTGCAATAATCATCATGGGCTAATCTAGGTATGTGCTTCCGTGTTGATAGCTTTCAGGGGGTATTGCCATTAGGATTTAATATTTGGAGCACCCATATCTATATGATGTTCGTTCTGGGCAAACCATTACGGGGTTCCCCATCCCCTAAATCTGTCTCCGCTGCGGAATATAGATTACCTTGGCATCGGCCGATTGTCAGCAACTCCGTAAACTCCGTGAATTGCGAAACAATTTGGGGTTAATTCCCCCGGGGGAAAGGCGAAGATAGCCCTTTTTGGGGACCAATTTACTATAGCTTTTGCTATGGTTCAGCCGATTCCATTTCTCACAACCATGGGTTCTCACTACAGCCATAATTTATCCTTCTTGATTATTGCAGCTAGTTATCAATCTAGGTCCAACACAATCACACCAGGAACGGAAGTTACTGATTTTTCTCTGCAGGTCTGGAGAAGGTAAGCTAGAAATCAATCGGGCCCAGTACGCAGTATTTTGTTTATTTAACATTTGACATTCTAAGTACGCAGAGTCCATCGTTGCCTGGCCCCACCAGATACTAGCATTGGAGAAGCCAAAGTGTCGGATGATATGTTTTGAGAACTCCAAATCAAAGAAATCAAAAGCAGAAATTACCCCAAAGATAAGGTTAGGCCATTGATGACCATAACTCTCAATACTGTACAGGTTCGATTTCATTTCACTAAAGGATTCCGAGAAGGGAACCTCCAGCGCCTCAGTCACTGTGGTAGCTTAGGCTAGTGTTGCAAATCCATGCAGATGGGGTTAAAGCTCCTAGTACTAGGTGAGTATGCCTTCTATTGGTCAATTCTGTCCATACAGTTCAAGATGGCTCGGCTATACACTACCCTCGAAAAGCAACCCACAAGTCTCTATACGAGTCATTGATAGTGTGCTCCTTATCTTTCATTAGAAACCGATGTTCAATGGTAAATGAGATAGATAGATAGCTATAGGTATACTTCTTGTTACATAATTTGTGGAGTTACCAAACAGGCACTCGGTCACAAAAACATATAAAACAGCTGTTGGAACTAATCAATGTGGTTTTATCATTGCTGTATCTGGCTGTCTGCTAAGGAAATCATTGGATCCTTCATCATGTTCGGCGCTCTTGTAACCACGACACTTCTCGCCCAAATTGCTTTGGCCTCATCACTTGATATCAAGCAATGGAAAGACCTCAGTACCAATTTAACTTGGATCTACAAGGACCCATCCTTGCCAAGAGTCATGCAAGTAGCACAAGGAAATGTTCCTATAAGAACTCTCTAATTTTGATCCTAGGCTCTATAACACCGGGGATGGAACGATTCTATCTGGATCTACGCATGGGAGATTGGATACAATCGACTATGGTGGTGGCTCTGGGGGATTGACCCCAGAGACACTTATAGATACCGTCCACGAAGTCCTCGACATTGCTCAATTCGCCGTCCGAAACATAAGTGGCACTGGCAGTGCTAATGCCGACTCGGACAGATTTCTGAACATTTCAATGGACGCTCAACAGCGACTCTGTACACCCGACTCGGATGTCATTGGTGCTGTTATGATTCATGGCACCAACACGCTCGCTGAAACGGTAAGTTTACCATCGATGAAATTCCCTTCGAGCGTGTTGCATCGGCTGATTCAATATAGGCATTTGGTATTGATCTCACCTTGAACTGCTCCAAGCCTTTTGTCGCTACAGGATCTATGCGCCCAAACTCAGCAATGTCACCCGACGGGCCACGTAACTTCTACGACGCAGTCAGGACTGCTATTCACCCGGAGTCGCGTGACCGAGGAGCTTTGATTGCGTTCAACGACCATTTGGTGTCTGCATTCTATGGAACAAAGACAAATGGCAACACGGTCTCGACATTCTTAGCCACAGACCAAGGGTACATCGCCCAGATAATTGCCGGGCAGCCGTACTTCTTTTACGGTGCATCTTTACCAAAAGCTCGCCACTATTTTAACCCGTTCAATCTCACCCACCCTCTTCCCAAGGTGGTGGTTCTTTATGGTCACCGTAAGTGAAAGATGGCCCCAAGCCTCCGTGATCTTGGTTAACAGGTATTAAACAGAGGGCTTTGACGCAAATTTGCTATATGCGGCTGCTGCAGATGGCGCTAAGTTAGTTTCAACTATGGGCCTTTGCCATGCAATCACTAACACATCTATTTGTAGGGGCATTGTTATTATGGGTGTCGGTCCCGGCGGTCTGAGCACAGCTGCTACGCAGGCCGCCGAGGATCTCCATGGAAAAGGTGTTGTCACTGTTGCGTCGCTCCGACCCCTCTTTGGCGCAGTGGTTCCCAGCCCCGAGCCCGGAAATATGTAAGTCGATAATTTCCAACCTTCCACAACGATGTCTTGGCTGACACCATATATAGTATTAGTTCTGGCTTCTTGCATGGCGAGCAGTCCCGCATTCAGCTCCAGTTGGCTCTTGCATCAGGATTCGAGTTTACTGAGATTCGCAGGATTTTCGAGGGCGAAATTCGGAAAGCTGTCTTCAACTCTGCCACAAGCTACTATAACGCCACAAGTGTCTAAGATGCAGAGGTTGGGCAACTCTTTTTAACTCATCATTGAAGCACCAAGCTCCTTAATACTAGGGTGCAAGGGACATGAATACCAATCTGGAATCCGAATGATGATTTAATTGGGGTAACCTTTCCTTGGGGGGGCCCCAGTGCAGAACTGGGATGACCTCCTAGACGAATGGGATGTTGGTTTTGGAATGGAGAGTGCAAATGATGTGTGGTCATCCCTAGATAGTTAAATACTTCTCAGTTAGTCATGATTCCTTAGATTCACGAAGACGCAGCGATGGCATGGGCCTGGGATGCCGGGTATATTACATTATTTAGTGTCAATTCCAAAACAGTTGTTTAAGCCATCAGATTCAGACCAGAGCGGGTCCTCCAATTTTTGTACTGTTCGTGTGCGAGTCTACAAGTTAGCAGCCGAGATCATGAAAGAGAATGACTGGAGTCACAAGAAATAGAAAGTCTGCGGTAATACACAGAAAATCTCATAATTAATCAACTTTCATAATATTAACCTGCCGAGGTTGTTTCTAAGAAATAGGTCAGTGGTAGGCAGTAGGGTGGTATTTATATTGTTAGCATCCCAAACATTTAGCAAACTACCCACGTTGCAATTTGAAAGAACAGGGAAGACACAAGAGCAATGTCAGATATCGCATTGTACAAACATAATTTCCTCAACAATATTCTGGTTTACGGGGTATGTGCAACTTGCAGCAAAAAGCAACCATATTTTTAAGGGATTTTGCTATGTACATACATATATCACCGATGTGCCTGTCAAGTTACTGCTCAAACGCCCTCATAACAGAGAGACCAGCCACTGGGCCCGATGCAACACGATTGTGACCTAAAATATTGCAAGTCAGTTCGTCGAATTCATAGAGGGCCTTGCTTCAACATACCACCATATCGAATCCGTTCCCATCTAACTGTCTTCACAATCTCAGTGCCATCTTGCTTCCTGATCTCATTCTTCCAGATCTTGACCTCGCTAGGGTTGCCATCCTCGGCTTTGTGATACATCATAGCGCCGGGAGCACCCTTGATATGTTTACCCGTGGCAGCCTCCCAAACGCGGCGTCCTTCGTACCAGGGAATTTCGGCGTCGTCAAAAGCGTGGACTATCGTCAGATCAAGGCTTTTATCGGTGTAGCCCATATCTACAGCGTTCAAGGAAGTAGTATTCACGCCGGTAAGACGCGCCAGTCTCCCAGCCGTGTCCCAGTGGTCCACAATGTGGCTCAGCAACCACTTCTGAGACCGAGGATATCCCATGATGGGGGACAGCATAGGCGGGGTGAGGCCTTTGAAGCTGTAGGATTCGATGAGATTAGCTAGGCTGCTGAAGGACGCCAGTAGGACCACGCCGGCAAATGGCTCGGCGTTCTTGATGGCAGGTTGGATAGCTGCGAGGTCAGATGATCCGAATGCAAAACGCTCTGCCACTGCGGTTGTGACCGCAGTTCCAAGACTTTGGCCGACCATGACGATGCGAGAAGTGGGAACCTTTAATGGCCCTGCGGTAAGAAAGTTGATGAGGGACACGCCATCCGTGATAAGACCTTCCTCTGTGGGAGTTCCAGTGCTAACGCCAAATCCGCGATAGTCAATTGCGAAGACGTGCACTGGGTTAGACGGGGTAGACAGGCTTAGCATCGAGTTGTAAGTGGCAGGGCGTTGAGCAGAACCCAAGTGCGCCGCATTTCCGTGGACTTGATTATTCAAATGTCAGCTTCCTACAGTGGGAATGCAGGTTGTCTATCACCTACAGCTTACGACGACTCGTGCATTGGGGTCATTGGCGAGAAGCTTGTGGGCAACCGTCTTCGTGTAATCCTCCGCTGGACCTGTAGAGGGGTTCTCCATTAATTCTTTTTCGTGTTCCAGGCAAAGATGTAAGGGCATCAAGTGCCAGCCGTAAATAGTTTCGTTGTCGGCCGTCACCAAATGAAACGGTTGGACTTGGGTTCCTTTCGGGACCGATTAGCACACATACTTCCATCGGCGTTCACCTGGACAGAAACGCCATACTCAAAAATCCAAATTGCTCAACTTGGTTGACATCCTGCCACAGGCTGGGATTGATCTTGTTGGCATAAAGAACACTGTGTTATTTATGTTAGCTCGCTCTGAGCATAGGTCCGGGGACTAGATACATACAAGCGTTGGACCTCCGGGAAGGTCAGGGAGAGTAGACAAAGCACATAGAGCAGTCCACCGGCTGCAAGAGACCAGTAGGCCTTCTTGAAAATAGGTTTAAGCTCAACCATTTTGCGTTCAGGGTTGAGGTGACGTCTGTTGACAGTCGCATTGTCCCAGGGACGGAGGTGAGCGGACAATCTTGGAAGAGACGGCGCTGATAAGCGGCGCGTTATCGCGTCTTTCACATTTCTCCCTTCCACCCTCTCCCCATCCCACTCCAACATCTCGCTATAGAATGCTTCTTATACTTCCATCGTGGATACCGTGATTATCTTATTGAATCCACCATGGCCGAAAAGCGCAAGCTTCCGGCGCGTGACCGTCGCGAATCTGCAGCCAAAAGACGTGTCTCCGAAGCCACGCCGCAGTCTCACAAGAAAAAGGCGCCAACTCCTCGCCCTCCAACGCCAACCCCCGAACTAGTTGATGCTCCTCTACCAACGAAGGTCAAGGATGGGGATCCCTTGCCTATTGTCCACATGCGACAGCCACTTTCCTTGTCGGACAATGAGTACCAGTCAATCGCTGAAAGGTTTGGCATCGCAGCCCCCGTTGGTGTTGCATGACTGACATTCTCTTATCTCAACAGTGCAGTTCTCCTCGCTTCACTCGAACGATCGAAGAAAAAGTGGCTGAGCGATGGCATCCTTGTTCGGTACTACACAAAGCCGAAGAAGACGAAGCGCGAACAGATCGAGAAGAACAACCCATCGAAGGACACTATGGCAAAAGTTGGGCCTTGCGATGTCACCATCGGCCCCCATTTCTTTGATGCCATGATTTACATTGTCAAAGATCCCAGTGCACCACCAGCACTCCAATACGCACCCCCGCAACGACCGATGGTTCACTATGGCCACCCTAATAACTTCCAACAATACCGACCGTATCCTACTCCATCCAATCAACAACGACCTGCGCAATATTCTCCCGCTCCTCCCGGTCGCCCTGGGTATACAGGAAGCCACCCCTCACCCCAACAAGCTCGTGGCCCGAATCAAAGCAATGCGCCCTCTCCCCAAGGAGGACAAAAGCCTCCACAGGGACAAAAGGGCCAGCCAGCCAAGCCCAGTCCAGATCCTGTGATTCAAATGCTGGCTACAAGGGCAGCTGCAGACCCTGAACTGAAGGCCTTGATGCGTGTTGTTGCTTCAAGCCAAGCATCCCAGGAGCAGCTCCGGGCTTTCCAAGCACACATCGATGAACTCAATGCAATCATCAAGTCAAGAGAGCAGCAGGAACAACGGCAGCAATCTTCAACAGCACAACCAATCACACAACAGTCAACCCCTACACCACAAACTCAGACCCAAAAACAACAAGATGGCGGGACGAAATCAGTATCGGAGAAATCCCCACAAACGTCACAGACCCCATCCAAAGGTTCCAAGCAGCCACCTGTGAAGACGGAGGCGCAGCCTCAGACGCCTGCGCAGGCCCTACCGAGCCAGGCTCCTAACCATCCCCAGAGCGCCACCGGATCGGATACCATCAAGGAAGAGCAATCGGCCACAGAGCAAAAGGGCTCCCAGCCTGCGCCCTCCGAAGCAGGGCGTCCAGTTGTACCAAGCCAATCAGTGACGCCTGGTACTGCAAGCACCTCAACCCCTGCTTCTACTTCTCAGCAGCAGGCTTTGGTACACCCGACACCACCAGCCAGCGCTCAGCAGCCAGGAGCACGACCGGGACTACCATATGCTCCCCATCAACAACCTGCTTATGGGTCACAACCTCCACTTCAGTCTCGACCACCCCAATATGGTTCTCCTGTTCCATTCTCCCGCCCACCTCCAATTCCTTATGTCTCCCCACTTGGATCTCCACCAGTAAACTACAAGTCTGTGGTGTTTGAATTCACATCTCCTTTAACTCCATATGGAAGCAGTACCTCGGGTCATGCCGGTTCGGGTGACCGTTACCTCTTCCCTGAGTACACCATTCTAGAATGGCTCCCAGCCGAGAATACGGTCATCGCCTCGTTTTTGGTAGTGCGGAAGGTCGCTCCAAACACACCATTCCCTCTTGAAACTGCCACAGAAGCTGCAAACACTAAAGGCAAAGGCAAGGGGACATCCAAAGCTAAGAAGGCTGAACCGAAACTCAAAACCGACAAGGGCAAACTACCAACCGATACCCCAGCCCCCAGCCAACCAGGGACGCCTACAACGGGAACGCCACAAAAGCAGGAATCTACCGACCAAGCAGGTCTTTTAACCCCCGGTCTCCCAGGAACTCCTATGAATGAGGCGAATCTCAAGGAATACTGGCAACCAGTCACGTTCCGTATCCATGCCCCCAATGCCAAAATCCTCGAGCCTCTAGCCCGTGTCGTCAAGCCAGCCGACGAGGTGCGCAAATATATGAATGATATCATGGACCGCGCCGAACGTGCGCCAGATGGCTACCTGGCCATGCGTCTGCCTCGTGAGGCGACGTCAGAATCCCTCGAGAGGGACGGGACACCTGCTTCTTCGGGAAATGTCGGTTCCGGAACCCGCAGTCGTCTTTCCCATGTTCAGCTGGCTGGTGATGAATCCGAAGCGGGGAATTCAGCTTTCGAATTCGAAGAGGACGAAGAAGACCTCAAGGATTTCTATGATGCGCCGAGCGGACTACCGCCGTTGAAGGCATAATCGTAGGTTGTATACTTCTAGAGGCGTGTGAAGACGTGGAGCCTTACATCGGTGGTTATTCGAAATCACATGTAGCCTTCCAGAGAGATCAAGTAACTACATAATATCGATCTGCCAACCACTGAAACATGTGGTTGAGAACATAAGAGCCCGGCGGCAACAGCGGTCCCCGTGAAACCCATTGGATTTATATGGAACTTTGAACCTCGAGGATACCTCTCAGTTGATGTTTGTACAATATATAAGGCTCTACCTGTGCCAGTCTTTAAATCTATGATAATCGAATGTTGAAGCCCTTGCGTTTGGAAATGCACTGGTTGTTATCTCCGACCCCCGCGTTTTGCGGAAGTAATACAATGCCTTGACTATACTTATGTTTAAAAGGCGGCAACAGGATTGTGAAACAGGATGTCGCTAGAAATTCCGTGAGCTTTGAGTGGCCCAAAATTTCAGGCCAGGTAGGCTGGTAATTAACTAATATAGGTTTACGGAAAACCTCGCTCTAATCTCGACACCGATGACACCAGGTCACAGGTCCCATACTGTAACACATTAAAACAAAGGCTTGCTCCGTGGACAGGCAACAAACCAACTCCTTAACCCCTCCCACCGGAATATCTCGCCTCATCCCCAATAATACCAGCTGTCTCCAAAAGCCACCTCGCACTCTCTTTCGCCGAATCCCCAGCTCCAGCTTTGATATTGATGTTACGACGGCGCTCGGCCTCCCGTGCCTCGAATTCCCACTTTGCACGCTGGATCTCCACCGGACTTAAGTTTGGGTCCGCGGAGAACGACGACTCCGGATCTGGGACGATACCCCAAATCTCCAGGGTGTACAGATCAAGCTTGATCTTTGTGGGCGGGTCTTCCGGGGTAGTATTGGCAGCGGGTAAGAAGACGCCGTCGTGTCCGACGCGTTCGGCGTGGAACTCGGCTGTCTCTATGTTCGCGTCGATGATGAGACTTCCTGCTCCGTGCGGGGTCGGGTGGTTTTGCTGCGTGCGGGATGGGGCGGGGATTCGGCAGCCGATTGCGATGCCGGTGTTGGGTGAGAAGTAGGCGGTTGGGGTGTTTGGCTTCTTTGCGGATGGGGAGGGGTTACCTGGGAGAAGGATATGCTTCGGGGATAGTTGGAACAGACAGGGGAGGAGGTCGGATGTTTTTGAAGGTGAGCTCGAGCTCGATATGGAGGTCTTCCACGTTTGGGGAATGTAGGCGCCGAGTGTGACTAATTCTTCGCTAGTTGAATCTACTGGAGATCCTTGCAGGAGGAGTAGGGTTGCGGTTTGCCAGGTGAGAACGTGGTGGGAGAAGGATGTCAAGGAAGACCCGTGGGCGCTTGTGGAGAAGACTGGATGTAGTTTGACGCTACTTCGGAGAATATTGATATCGGGTGATGTGGACGGGAGGAAGAATGAAAGATGCGAGGTAAGGATTGGTTTTAATATAGCCGACTCGAAGCTTCCCGGAAGCGTGAATGCAGCCGTTGACGAGGGAGTTTCTTCGTTTTCCTCGCTCTCCTTCTGTTCGGTCTCCGTAGCTTGACCCCTGTGGCGGCGTTGGGATAGATCCAAATTCTTGCTGAAAAGCATGTGCTCAAAAAGAGCAGTCAGTGGATCGAACAGATATGGCAGAGACAGTGATATCGTTCGAGCAAAAGGCTTGTAAGATATCCCACCATCGCTCTCTTCCGGTGAAAACGCTGCAATGATACAGTCTGCTTCGTTCTTGAGAGATTCCATACGCCGAACATCCAGTCCAGATGTATATACCTTCAAAGACTCCAATGGTTTCAGTGGTGCAATGACAAGCAATAGCATAAGCAACCGGCGGAATGTATCGATAGAAATCCGTGTCTCGTAAACGGTCTTGTCAACACGGTGATCGTGTTTGAATACTTCAATCGCATCAAGAGACTCGAGTGCTGCAAGGGCAAGATCGTCATCCTCATCTTCGTCGTACTCATCGTTGGCCGGTGCATCTATAGAGAACCCCAGGGCATGAGAATGCTCGGCCGAAGCTTTGGAATCCTCGGTTGTACATTCTCCACTAGACTCGACGGGAATCTTCCTCCCCACGTCAGCCAGACTACCAAAGATTAACTTGATTCGATCCTTGTGTCCCCGCTTCAGCGCTTTCCCATAGCGCTCAGTCAAGAGCACAACCACCTTGACCATAGCCTCGAAGGTCAACACACTGGGTGCGAGCGTGTTTTGGAATGGAAAGGCTCCTAGATAAGAGACCATGCGGAAGATCACCGGTCCTGCATCCAGCGGCTGCTCCTGGGAAGTGGTATAGATACCATCTGGGATACCCAAGAAGTCTGAGAGGACTTTCTCATTCCAGTACCGCAAGCCTCCCTGCTCTAAGGCCCGAGAGAAAAAGTTGTCTTTGAAATGCGTGAGCTCTAATGGCGTAAAGCATTTTGTGGCGAAACGCTCAGCGAGCACGGAGCTCAGCTCCTCTATTTACGTATATGGTTAGATACAACTGTCATTGATCAGACGGAGAGGGATTGCCATGTGCAAGTCGAGGCCATATTATTGACGATTACAGCCGACCAAGAGAGTAGCAGCTTCATATATCTTCCAGACCCAACCATGAATGCAACATGTAGAACTCACCTGGGGATGATGCACCATGCTCATTGGACTGGGCTACACCCATTGTTGATGGTTGATGCGGGGATGACCCCACTGCTAGGCTACTGCTAAGTTCCGTCGCAGTGCTCAAGAGCTAAGTTCAAGCGAGAAGTTGGAATAAGAGAGAGAGGTGTGAAATGGAATGGTTCAGAATGGTCAAATCGCCACGGAAAATACAACATCAATGAACCGTAGTAAGTCAACATGGAGAGCGGAATCCTATGAGGCGACGTCAGGTTATTGCCTGAGGCAAGTAAGAGTTCTAGACTCTTGCTGGCTGCCTGAGGCTTGAACTTTTACGGAACATTACGTAAACTTATGTAATGAAGGTGGGACCACATGCTCACGTGGCATCTACATTGTCATTGTTTGCAACAACCTCAAAGGAGATAGAACCACGTCTTGGGTTTTGATCCATCGCACCGGGGAGGCAAACCAGTCCCTATCAGGCTGGTTTATTGCTTAACTCACGGTGTTGTCTTCTAAAAAGGTGGGATTTCCTTACACCATCAACCTTGTCGGCAGCGCTCGTGCGGCTCTGTTTCGAATATCATCATTGTCATTTGTCAGAACGGAATAAGGCCCCCATAGGCCATAAACAGGAACCTAGGTTTTTGTTGTGGTCTAGTAATAAAACAGCCTGTATTTTTACAACATCATTTCTTAATCTACAGCTCTCCTATCTGAATCTCACATTGCATAATGCATTTCAACATTCATCAAGTAGACCTCTCTTAACAATCATCCTGGCCGTTGTCTTATTGTCTTACTTTCTTCCTCTCTTTCTTCACAGTTGACCTGCCCTGGGTCACTGAATGGAGTCTGTCAGTGTAGGTGGTTTGGAACGCCTTTTCTTTTTCCTAGCTGCAGGTTATCCATCAGCTTTAAACACGGATATTAGGTAAGGCTACTATCTATCCTGATATCAGATTTATCTTCAATACTCAGAAGTGATTTGGTACTATCTTTAGATACGCCCTGTGCTTGATTTATGGACGGGCTATCCATTAAAAATACTTGTTTTGACGTTAGCCTACTAGTAATCTATATCATACATATAGAGACGAAATACCAAAAACGGAACATGATACCTAGGTATGCAGTACATTGGTATATGTAACGAATGAAAATATACATGTATAATTTATACATACCATTGGCTCCTTACGTAGGTAACTATAGATGGGATCCTTACACATACACAAGCCACAGGCCTGTAAGATAGTCCTGAACAGTCCGTTAATTTTTCAACCTAGGCACGGACGTGTGGGATTGACCAATAGAAAGCAATTTATAACGCTTATGCTGCTTTGGCTACGCACTAATGAAGCACAGATTCCGGTAATTTAGGACTATTTCCCCGGTTCATGAAAATATAAACGAATAAGCCATAACCTGACTAGCGACCTCCACACTCCCCAAGTGATCTTAGTTATCTTACTCATTTGCCATTAGGGCCCTAGAGGCTCGATCTAGGCCCCATTTTTAGTAGCTATACCATTCAGCGCTGCCAATAACGCCGTCGAAAGACAACAAATAAGCTAATAATTCCACTCTTAACTTTGTTTAAACGTTGAAGCCTATATACAGGTTATATTTTCTAGTACACAATTTATAAAATAAAACGATAAAACAGCTAGAAGCCGGTATATATAATGGTCGGTTTATGTTAGTGAATTTAAATGATGTATGAATACCCATGATGGAACCACCATGGTACGACGGATTTCCCCCTATGTGAGTAATAATGGGTTGTACACATTGCAAAACATGGAAAAAACGGATAATAAGCACGGAGTACATAGTATAGACACGTATGGGTCTAAATAGACACAACACGGACCCCGGGAATCATCCTAGGGTCCACCGGTGGGGTTCATTCTCGAAACACGCGCCGTTTGTTAGGGTTAACTTGTCTTAGCGCTGACATTACTCTACCTTGATCTCACTAAGTGCTTACATGAATTCAATTAGCTCCATTCCCAAGGCTGCAATGTATCATATATTTTATTAGTCGATAATTAGTCTGGTGGTTGTTTTAGTAACACTCTACCGGAATATCAATTGTTGTAATACACAACACACTAGCATACAACTGAGGATGGCCAGCGGGTCTTGCACTGGACCAACCATGGAATTAATACTGGACGGCCCAACCTCAAAACTGAGATATTTCAGGGCCATAGGTCTTAGAGAGTCCTAGGGTCCGGATTGCATTGAGTAACAGTCACAGGCTTAGGGAATAAGCAGCAGAGTTAATGGCCTGGGAAAGTAATAATGCTAACTGTATGACACACTGATCATGAACAGTGGCGCGACAGCATCGAGAAACACCACGGCGACTGTGGTCCGGAG